AGGCTCAGGGGTGGAAAAAATTAGAGGAACCATTGTGTGAGCTGGAAAAGAAACTGCTCAGCAGACACTATCAGAAATGTGTTGTTATACACAACTGAACCACTCTCACTTGCATTTAGCATAAGACAGGACTATGCAGCACTTTAAAGGCTAACAAGATGGTTTATTAGGTTTGTTAGTCTTTAAAGTGCTGCATAGTCCTGTCTTTTGTTTCAGCAAGACCAGACTAACACGGCTACATCTCTATTACCGTTCTTTCATTTAGCATGGCATCTAAGGATACACTTTTCTGAGTCTTACACTTATAGTGGCACAACATACAATTAAAAAACTACATGCACCTATGAATCCCCTCCCTGCCCCTCGTCTTGGGTGGCTCTGTCCCCCTTGACATTCCTGCCAATGGCACAGATGGTGCTGTCGGTGCATAATGTGTATGTGGCTGTGGGTGCCGGTGTTGCTGAGGAGCTGAAGGGAACTGACAGGAAAGCAAGGGGGAGGATAGAAGGGAAAGATCTGGGCTGCAGGAGACTTTCACAGAGATGTGGCAGATAATGAAGGAAGCAGAAAAAAAGAGTAATTGCATCCCATTGCTTCCCAGGAAGAATTAAAAGGAGCTGGTGTAACCCACACAGCGGCTGGGTGCAGTGCACTCTCCCATCTGGTGGCACTGAAACTGATCTACAGCCTCAACTAAGAGCCAGCTGGCTTTCAGCTCATCTGGTAGAGGCTCCTAAACTAAGCACCAGAGGTGCCAGGTTTGATTCCATCTGCCAGCATTACACTGGGAGACACTGGAAAGGCTTTGGTGCTATCTGGAGAAAGCATTTTAGCACAGAGACTGGTTTGCTTGATGCGGTAACATGGAACTCAGTCACTGACAGCGAGTCACATTCTCCAACCTGCATGCTGGCAGGGAGTTCAGGGGCAGAGTTCCTCCATGGCTGCGTGATTAGCTGCCATTTTCATTGGCGCTGTCTTGGGAGAACAGTGGGCAAGGTGCAGTGAAGCTACAGTGCAGGTGGGCAGTGGCAGAGGACAGAGTAGAATCCTTTTTTGCTGGAGGTACAAAATGCAAGGACCCAAATTGATTGATAAGGGTCAACGGAGGGGGACTCGCATGCCAGGAGGAAGCAGTGCTGCACCAGACAGTGCTCCAGAGAAGCAACTTGGGCAAAAGTGTATTGGAGCTAGGGAGAAAGCAAGAGAAATGACTGTGTTGCCAAATCTCCCAATGGGAACACAAGTCTTAAGTTAATTAATTTGTTCCTTAAAGCCCTGCCTCCTGAAGTCACATGATCCTGATAGGCCCTCAGCTTCCATTTTTTACAAAAAGTAAGTTTTAGCCTCTACAGTTGGAAAGGAAAGTCTGCAAACTTGACCTGAGTGCACCCCAAAAGTTTCAAATCAGAAGGCAAAGAAAAAACAACCCAATTTTATTATATTTTAAATCTCATGATTTTTTAGCCAGTATGATGATTTGTGAGGCCCGACCCACAATTTTTCAATGCTTGAGGTAGGCAATACTACACTTGTCTGAACCTTTCTGAATCCTAATTGGCTAATTGACTGACTTTAATCCCCCAAAAGAGAGTCTGACTCTTTGCTCTAACATATGTTGTAAATCACTCAGCCCTGGTCTACACTAGGGCTTTATTTCAGAATAACCCCCCTTAGGTCAAATTAATAAGCGGAACATCCACACTACCAAGCCTGTTATTTTGAAATAACGGGGTCACCTATTTAAAAATCTGTACTCTCGCTTTCCCCAGGGAATAATGCTAATTTCAAAATAGTTATTTTGAAATAGCAGTAGTATGGACACTCCGGTACTGCTATTTTGAAATAACTACTCTCTAGAGTAATTCAGACTAATTACTTCTCAGTGCTTCCTGTAGCACTAAGTTAAGGTAGTGCATCCGCATTAACAAAGCCTGCCTGGGACTAATTTCGAGGCTTCCCTGTAGTGTGGACATGCTATTTTGATTTTGTTATTTCGGGAGTTGAAATAGTTTCCTAGTGTTGACATAGCCTCAGGTTTAAGTCTGCAACATTTGTGAATCTCTAGTATCACTCCCTTATTTAGACAATCTTTTTTAGTAATACTCAAGGATACTGCTATAAAGATGGAAGGATGGGCTTAAAAACTACACACTTCTTTTACTAATAAAAATTGGATTTTTCGTTGGCAAAGGTTCAAGGTTAATAGCATAAGCACAATACATGCTGCACAAAGGCTGGTACTGCAGACACAGAAAGGACCTGTAAACCTGTGTGGCCATCCTGGCCAGGAGGAATATCTTCATAAGATCAGCAGTTAGTTTAATCACCCAGGACAGACACTATATTCAACACTTAATCTCCGTACCTTCCAAGAGTGACAACTACTACTCACAGTGCTTTTGAGTTTTACAATATAAATTATTTCCCTCTAGGAAGTGGGCTGAGACCCACCCAATGGACCAGCATAGACCTAAAGATAATGTGGGATCTTGTTCGATTCTCCTGTAAAGACATGCATGGAGTGCAGCATCCTCCAAACTCTATGGAGGGGAGGAATTGACCTATATGAGCAAAAGAAAGTGCCAGAATGCATAAATCAGAGGAATAGGTGTTACTATGTGAACTTATCAGACCCGATCTTTCTTGCCATTGAGCTCCCTCAGCTCCAGTGACCTCACTGAAGGCCTGTGTGTGATTCCAATGGGAACTGAGGACATTTGGCATCTATCGGGAGGGGTTCATGATCTTGCACAAGCAAGCCTGATGCAAACAAAACAGAATTTTGCTTTAAGAAATTAGAAATTCAGAGTCACGGTGGGAGTTTAGGAGCTAAGGATTAAAATTCAAATCAAGCTGCTTATATGCTTGGTCTCCGCTTGACTGTTCTCTGACTGTAGGAGTCCGTTCCACAGTGCCAGGAACAGCGTAAAAGGAAAAACACTGAGGAAGAAGGGGGGGAGGAGATAGGATCTTCAGAAAGCAGAAACTGAGTCAGCCATAACTCAAAAGGAAAAACACACCTCTCCCCTTCCCTCCTCCTGCTCCGAATTATCCTGGCCGTAGCTCCTCCTAGTGCAACGCTGGAGCAGTCACTAGGGGTAAGTCTACACTACATGGCTCCGTCAACAACCCTAAACCTAACCTAAATAATCGTCGCTTCAGTTACATCAAAATGGCTGCTGCGCTGTGCCGATCAGCTGTTTGGCAACACAGCGTGGTAGTCTGGACACTCGGCGGTCGACATCAAAAGCCTTTGTCAACCACCCCGTTATGCCTCATGGCATACGGATTATTTAAATCACCGCTTCATTTTGCTCTGTCTACAAAGCTCATCTACATGGCTCCGTCAATGGAGCCATGTAGTGTAGACATACCCTAGATAGCAACTCAAGAACCACCCACCCATTTCCTCAGTACCTGGATAATTCCTTGGAGGACTCCCATCCACATACTGACCATGTTCTACCTTCACTTTACATGCCAGAGCTGAAAAGAACACAGCCTGAGTAGGCATGGCTGTGACATCTGTGGTTATTGTCATCCATGCTTGCAGTTGATCTAAGGAACTCCCCCTGCATGAGAATCAGACAGCAGCAGCGGCACAGGAGCCAGCAAACAGAGCTGTAAACAGGGGAGTTTGTGTGGGAGTTTGTAAGGGGAGTTTGGGTCATGGGACTCGTTTAGGGTTTGTTTTTGCCGTGGGGGAGGGGGTGTTTTGGTTCGTTTTTGTGTTTGCTTGACTAACAGGTGAGGTGAGAAGGCTGATTAACACAGAGATAGCAGTGGCTATCCCAAACAGTGGAGGACACAATGAGAATGAGTGGATGTGGCAGCTGTGGTATGTATATGATTCTGGAGGGGATACCTGCAAGGAGTTTTGTTTGCATGAAGTGCCACCTAATAGAACTGACGGAAGAAAAGATCTGAGGATTGTAGATGCAGGTGGAAACTCTGGTTGAATTTAGAAGGGGGTTTGAGCAGATGATGGAACAAAGGCATGAGGTGGCTGAAGGGGAAAGCTTAGACATGCAGACTGAAGCAGGATCAAAGGCCTCTGAGGGGGGACTGCTGGGCGAAGAAAATGGACAGTGGAAGCATGTGACTATGAGAACCAGGAAGAGGAAAAGATGGGCCAGTGAAGGAGAAACAGAGCTCAAGAACAGGTATGCGGAGTTGGAGAATGGAGAAGGGATACAGCAGGTGGCCACTGAAGGTGGAAAGGCAAGGAAGAAGAGAAGAGTGGCTAGTCCCATACATAAAGGGGAAGAGTCAATGGAGACAACACCAATAATGAGCACCAGGAGGCAGGGATGGAAGGAGGCATGGACGAGCCGGGCAACTACCCAGGGCACCAGCCACTGGAGGGCGTCTGATGGCAGCTGTAAGGGGCATGCGGTGTCCC